GTGGCCTTATGGATAGTCTCCGCGTAGCCAAGACTATAGATTTGAATCAGAGATGGTTCTGGATACGCTTGGATTATCCAGAACCGTGCTTAAACATGTTTCTGGATAAAGCACGATTCTGGATACAACAGGGAAGAGTTTCATCAGGTTGGTAAGTCACTGAATAAAGAGACTCTTTTTACACAACCAAGGGTTTTATTACCTTCGCCAAGAAGGTTATGTTTTCAGTAGCGTTTGTCCGTCTTATGTTTTCAATAGCGTTTGTCCGTCTGTCTGTCTGTCTGTGAACAGCATAACTCAAGAAGCTTAGTATGCATTGTCATGAAACTTGGTAGGTGGGTAGGTCTTGATGAGACCTAGAAATGATTAGATTTTGGGCCCCCTGGCGGCTTCTGTTGGTACTGCAGCAGAACTTCCGGTTTTGATATCTCCCGATCTGGACATGCTAGGGTCACGAATTTTAGTTGGTAGATAGCTCATGAGGTAGGGAAGAAGTGACATGAGTTTGGGCCCCCTAGCGGCTTGTTCTAGAACTGCAGGAGCATTTGTTGAAAAATTTTCGAAGGATGATAACTAAGTAACCGGTTGACGGATTGACGTGATTTTTGGTATGTAGGTAGCTGAAGTGATGCTTGACATAATCAAATGATAATTATGCAAATCAGGAGCTAATTTGCATAATTAATGAGGAAATTCTAAAACTCTGCTTTGTTCGATAATAGGACTATGAAACACTTGTGACATGTAATTGAGAATGAAAAAAAAATCTGAGGATATAGATTATGTAAATAAATACCTAATTTGCATAATTAATGGGAAATTTTTATAATTTCATGGTTGTAACTGCTGGGAATTTCATACTTGCCACATTTGGAAGTTAAGTGAAGGCGAACATCAATAAACATAATTTATTCAGATCATGACCTCATTTGCATAATTTATGAGGAAGTGCTACAATAGCCTTTTTGTTAAGATAAGACTGTCATTGGGTGGAGAATATGATCAACTGATATAACCCTTGCAAATGAGGATCTTATTTGCAAAATCAATTATTAAAACTGTATAATTCTTCAACCGCAAGGGTTAACATCATTTGGCGAAGGTATGAGATCGTGGAACTCTTGTTCAGCCTGCGTTTCGGCGACGGTCTGTCACCTTCCTCAGGGCAATTCTGACTGGTTCACCTTGCACAGCATAGTCAGAATTGCCCCGAGGAAGGTGACAGACTGTCACCAAAACGCCGGCTGAATGAAATACTTGGTTGTGTAAAAAAGAGTCTCTTTATTCAGTGATCACGACCGCACTGTATCTGTTTGTGGTGGGTTACTTAATATGGTTTGGATGTGTTTACCCCCAAAAACGGGACCTAAATTTAACGTCATGTCCAAGGGATGTCCCTAACCGAAACTAGGTATTTATTTCCACCTGAGTTAAGTAACTTAAAGGTAAGTCGTGTGGAATGCCTCCTGTCCTAAGGGAACAAGGTTTGTGACAATCAATCAATCAATCAATCAATCAATCAATCAATCAATCAATCAATCAATCAACTTTATTGCTCAACAACTGTAGCTGGGGCAATGTATGGCAAAGAAACAACAAGGGTACATGCACAAACTAATACTAAAATATAATCCTAACTAGCTAGTCTATTATGATACTAAAGCTAATCTATTGTGTTTTCTTAGGAAGAGTATTATAACATTCTGTAATTCAGAGGATATATCAGCTATTTACAATATGGTGTCACTTTTGTAGTGATTCAAATATGAATTTTCCAACGAACACTGACATGACAGGATTCGAACACGGCACCTCTTGGTTTTCAGCCGAACACTCTACCGTACGTTGCGCCATACGACCCCATACAGTCTGTCAGGCAGGCACAGCGCCCACCAACTGTATTTGTCCACGGTGCTGAAAGATGCGCAGCTGTTTGACTAATGGCTCAGCAGTTCTACAGTCTCAAACCACCGACTAGTGTCAGAAGGGTGAGGCCAAACAGGACGCGTGTCTTCTAATGGTAAAATGGACCGGAAATGTGGCCGGAATCGTAAACGTCTAACTGATGTGAGTGCATTATCTCAAAACATCTCTTGATATGCAGTTTGATTATGGCACACGACAGACGGTCAAGGTGACGACGTGGGCTCAATACAGATACGTTCTTTTTTATTTACATGTATAACACTTTTGTTTAATTTCTTTTCGTAGATGTAAAAACTAGTTTACACACTTCAGTTATTATTTCTGTGTCTTGATTTTGTTTAATTAATCAATTATTTCATTGTTTAATTTTGATGTTTAATTCAAATATGTTTTGTCATGTATCATAGTTACCTTTGTTTGGGGTAGGCCCTTTAAAAAACCACCTAGGTTTCTGGCCTACCCCGCATATTCTCTTATTGTTATTATTTGATTATGTAACTTTTTTATACGTGCAAATGATAAATAAACAATAAATAAACAAACAATAATTTATGGCTTTTGAATTATAGGAATTAAGAATGAGACTGGTTGAACAAAAACACGCTTCTAGATACCAATCAATCAATCAATCAATCAATTGATAAGATTAAACAGTGCTAGATATAATACATTGCAATCGAAGGCTGAATTGTGTCTTATATATTTAAAGAAAATAGTTAAATATTACAAAATATGGGGTCGTGCGGCGTAGCGACAGAGTGTGCGACTCGGAACTAAGAGTCCCGGGTTCGAGTCCTGACATGCCACCGATCTTGTGCCCTTGGGAAAGGCACTTAACACGACTTTTCTCACTTAGCTCAGGTGTAAATGAGTACTGTCCTGTCATGTATTTGTCCCCTGTGTTAGTGGCGGCATTGATATAAGTTGAAAAAACTTGAGTGTGTCGTCTGGTGATTACATGTTGGAATAAAAAAAATATGACAAAACATCATAGAATGGTTGGTTTCATGTTTGTATGTTGCTGTTTTCAATGTATTAGACATATGATGAAAGGGAGTAGGACCCATAGCCAGCAACGCAAAGTTTGTTTTCCGATCAAGTTAACTTCAACTTCCCCACGCGTATAGCTTTAAAAGTTTGAGAGCCTTTCCCCTCTTATCTCTCCCGCTGAACTTCTAGAGAATATGGGGTCACCAGAGGTCCTCTCGAGCTGGAAATAGTTTTCACAAAGAGATATCCAATATAGATTAACGAGAAACCCCTTGAAAGGATCCCTTAAGTTGGATAACGGTCAGGGGTCACGTAATGGAGTGGGGGTCCCTTAGAGAACTCAAACCTGATGCTGCAGCCTATTACGGAGATTTGGTAGGAGACTTTCCTTTCGATTTTGATTTATGCGTGTATTGGGTATCATGCCATAGCCTTAGTATACATTCATCATATGGTGCCGTGGCACAGGGAGGTAAAACTACCAAGGACTTTGGGTACGTGAGCTGCGAGTGAAGACCTGGACAGATTTAGGGCGAGGAAAACGTGTCTACGTGCTATTAAGAAGAAGTAGAGGGGAAGACCCGGGGCAAAACAAGCAGAAGATGTCTGAAAACTTGATTAACAGCCCCTGCTTTGCGAGCCATGCGAGACGCCATCCGTTTAATCGAAAATTAGCCTGTAATTCGATGCACGCCAGATTCTTTTGAGAGGATATCCTGCTGCCTTCTGGTTGATTCGATCGGTGATGGAACCCGACATTGAGCGCCTTTTTTATAGTCCGGTCCTTGGGCGATCAATTGAAGTGATTCCCTCACGTTAATAAGGTACGAGGTACGCCGGATTTGCTCGCGATCTCTTCGGAGGTCTGGCGGGTCAGAGGCGATTGATGAAACACTTCATATCCAGCATTGATCGAGCGGACTATATAAGGCTGCCGGCCGCCGCTTTGATGCTCGCCGCGGTGCCCCGGCTAAATTAGCGGCGGTGATGACCCGTACACCCGGGTTTTCTCCAACACGGCACGGCCGCGGGCGAAGGAGGCAGGCGCAGTAACTCTTAGCTAATTGCTTCGTACTAACAACGATATATAAAGCACTTTAGTTATCAGGGGAATGGGAAACAAATTGACACGTACCAGATTGAGACCCTCTAGAGAATTGCCTTAGGCTTAAGTTCGACATTTGCATTTTTAGTTCATAGTTCATGGATCAAAAACATTGGATAAACTTTGCTAAATTCATTCATTATGTTTACCGAAGGAAAACATATTGTTTTTACTCAGTTTCTTCCTCCTCCTCTTCTGTTCCAAACACTAACCTCTGACCTGGCCAATGACATGATTTGTTGACGTCTGTCACCATAGTGACTGCTGTTGGGTTACATAATGTTGCAATTTTATGGTCTGTTCTGCTCCTGTCACCATATACTCGTAGTACATGTATTTGAATGTGTTAAAGTAAAAATTAACAGGGCAGACCACAGTCTGAGAGCAGACCATGTCTGAAGATTAACATTATGCATTTGTTTTGCAAATGTTACTTCTGTAGTATTACTAGTATAATCACTCATGTTTTTCTCACGGTTTCAACGGAACCAATGTCAAACACTTATCGCTCGTATTGTTTTAGCAGTTTACAAGTTTTGTTATGGCATTCGTTGTCCCTGTCGCTTTGTGAGTCCCCATGTACCGTACGACATGCTTCATTTCTCTGTTGGGAAATAAGCATGAATCTCCTCCAAGGGTACGACAATTTAGTCTACCCTGAGCGGTACGAGTCATCACACTGTAGCGAATGATATATCGTGTGCAACTGACTTAAAGTGAAGAAAGGCACCCTTGTCGCAGCAGCCAGTACTTTACAACCCAATAACATTGTCACTGCGCGCTCAAATTGTAGCAGCGATCGAAGGCTTTGATACAGTGTATGATCTTACATATAGGAAGACATGATATGCTTGGTTTAGAGGCAGATGTAAGTCATGAAAGCGTTTCCTGTGCAGATATATTGCTGTTGGTTCTGTGAGGAAGATGAATGATATGATGACGTTTGCTCAGCCGGATGTATTGCCTTCTTTTCCCGTAGGTCGTTCATCAAGCTAGCGAGGGGACGCCGGGAAGAAAAATGCCTCTGCGGTCAAGTATGAAGATTGTTCATTGGATTTTCGGCGTGCTGCTGGGCCTGATCCAGGCACCTTGTCTGCCCCTCGAAAACACAGCAAGAAGCCTCCAGCTCACCCCGATCCATCAGTCTCGCGTGGATGCGCGAGTGTTGGCCGACAGGAGTACAAGGATAGTGTACGAGAGGTACGTTCACGTGACCAGCGCCAACGTGAGTCTCGTGAAGTCTCCCCTAGAACTGGACGAGACTTTGCCGGTCCGACATCGCTACGCTCGGTCCTTCGGCGACCAGACTCAGTCAGACGGCGTCCGCTCTAAGAGCAGGCTGCAGAATTTACACGTCGTCAGCTGTCAGATGGACGTGGCCTGTGACCCCGATGACCCCGGGGGTCACTGCACATGCCCAAAGGACCTGGAGACCTTCGGAGAGGCCAAGTGCATCATCCCCAAGGCCAGAATCAGCCACATATCAATGTCAAACTCGGGACCCGTGAAAATCTTCTGCGTGGGAGTGACCTTGAACTCCGAGGAGTCGGACATAATCTACGACATGCAGACGAGATGTAAATATCTGGGCGGAAACAATGTAAAATACCGGGTTTACGTCACCAAAACTGTGGAGACCAGTGACACGAATGAAGACAAAGTCAAATATCGAGCTTGTCTAGAACCTGTAGAAGATCGCTGATGTTGCTGTTTTTATCGTGTTCTTCTCCACATTGCACTCACTGAAATGCATCTGAGCACTTTAGGTAAGGTTAGAAACGTCGGGGGAAAAAAGCAACAGAAAACTAAGACTCTTTACGTGGTTAGAAACCGTCTGTATCGTCTTGAAAAATCTCACCACACTCAAGAAAGTACTCTCTCTCTTCAGGCTCAAGACACCACTTGTACGGTGTATCTGTTGATACAGAATTGTATACAAGTTTCACTGCACCCAAAAGCCATGAGCCACTGACAATACTGAAGGCACGGGGTAAATAGCCATTCGTCGTGGAGAGAAACTGAAATAGTGAATGCGGTTATCATTCTTTGCCTGAAAAAACAGTCTACAGTTGTTCAATTTTTTCTTGTAATTCTAAAATGCTGACTCTCAACAACACTATGGTAACATGGCTAAATCGTAGGCTTTTATACAGTACATTCGGCTATAACAGTGGCTTAGCTGTATAGTAAGACGGGTGGAGACGCTTCTATATTGTATGTACGTAACGTCATGTACGTAATAATGTACAGCTATAAACGTCATGGCGAGTTCTTTATGATCCCCGTAGAATGTGAAAATCCTAGCTTCAGGCTAGCCGGCTGTCTATCCACTCAATATAAAATGTACAGCGAAGAACAAAAATATCGGACCAAAGCCTGTTGTGCATACTTTGTCATTGGCTTAAGTTGCAGCTCTTTGCTTTGTCTTGGTGATCATGATCAGTATGTGTTGATACTATTAAGAAAAGCTACGCATATACATGTACATGTACATGTACATCAGGCGTAAAGAAGCTTTTCACGTCAACAAAACATGCCTGCTGCACATCTCAGTGTTTTCCGAATGGAAGGAAGCGAACTTTATTGGATTTTACAAGACGAGTGTTGCGTCCATTGTTATCGATTTCAATGATGCGTCCTGATTTTTATGTTTACCGAAGGAAAGCATGTTGTTTTTACTCAGTTTCTTCCTCCTCCTCTTCTGTTCCAAACACTAACCTCTGACCTGGCCAATGACATGATTTGTTGACGTCTGTCACCATGGTGACTGGTGTTGGGTTACATAATGTTGCAATTTCATGGTCTGCTCTACTCCTGTCACCATATACTCGTAGTACATGTATGTGAATGTGTTTGAGTAAAAATTAACAGGGCAGACCATGTCCAAAGGTAAACATTATGCATTTTCTTTTCAAATGTTACTTCTCTAGTTAGAGTACGTATTTGTTTCTTTGTGTATACTTATTATGGCGTTATTTTATCGAAGGTCGTTGTTCTCAATACCCCACCATCCTAGTTATAAGAGGTGCCATATAGGACTTCGTTGATTTTGATTCAGTAGATGGAAGTTTATGACTTTGTCTGAATTACGGAGCGACATTTGCCAGCATCACCAAAACGGCTGTACACATGCTATACAAAGCTCTCAATCTTGTACACATGTGCTCTACATGGTGCACAATGAAAATAAAACGCACGTTATCAGTACCAATTTGACTATCACTTGGCCTATCATTGTGTTGTATTTTCTGGCCTAAATAACAACTGACCGATACTACATTTATATGGGGGTTAAATGGTATGGATGAAAGTGATATATGAACTCATCTCAACGCCGAAAATTAGTTAAAATCTCGAGTGCTCGCTCAGAAATCCAGTAACTTTCGAATAAGCCAGTATAACTGGGTCGCAGAAGAATTAGGTTCAAAAACCTTCAAAAGCTTTTGAGTCAGAATAATCATATAGTATACTTTTGGAAACCCAATCTATCTAGATTGCATCCCGTAAAGGAAAAAAACATTGCCATCTTTCATGTTGAGAGTGGAACTTTATAGGCCACCGAGGGGTCGTAGTGCACATAATGAGTGCTCCACATATGAGAAATAGGGGTAGTTAAATTTGCTGCACTTCCGACTCTGGTCGGCAGGTGGCCATCTCTTACCTATCATCGAACGCTTTGCTAAAATCACGGTCGCAAATTGCGTCGTTGTACAATCGTTCGGTTTTTGGCGGTATCGTTACAAGCGATCCTTGTAATCTGCCGTAAATGTCAGGGAAAGACAGATGTGGCCCGGACAAATGTATGCAACCTTGGAATCGCTTTCATGGCCACTTGGTATTACCGTGTCTCATATGGGATGTGAGAAGGTCGCCTGGTAATGTACGTGTGTCAAGACACCGTGTTACCAGGACCATCTAATACATATTGTCAGATTTTACATCCGCTCTGAGATTTCTATTACACGGAAGAAATACCATAATACCGTAATACATACACAAAAAGGTTTTCTAACTGCACGATATAGTACATAAAATAACAAACCGCAAGGTTTGATTAGAACTCTTGGGGATGAAATTGACATTTTCCTGACGTTAAAAGATTGTATTGCGGATTGTGGAAAAGCCATTACAGCAAGATTGTGCAGTTATATCGGCTTTACCGTGAATTATGACGAAACGATACTTTCGGAATTGAAAAGGAAATTGTGGCTGGCATATTCCCTGTCTGGCAACAAAAGCCCTAAATATGAATAATACATGTTTCCTCGAGCAGCCAATTCTTTTCTTCGTAATACTAGTACACTTTCAAGACGACATCTAGCGGTAAAGGCAAGTAATGCACCTCTTGAACAACGAAATTTAAAAATATTACTAGTAATCAATCTTGAAATTGCTTCTCCGTGGCTCAATGATTTTCATGATAAATGCAGAAGAAATTAACTAGCACAAGATAAAACAAAACGAGCCTTGAAAATATCACTGTTACGACACTACCATGGTAGACTGATCAAAGCACCGAGATCAAAAAGAATTTTGATGGTGAGCATAAATACACAAAATGTACAAGACTATCACTCAACGCCACAGTTCATCCGCCAAAAGACGGTTATAAATTTTAAACTCCTTTATGTACAATCAACATTTTCTATTCATTGTAGGCAGTAAGCTATTAGCAAGTATCAAACAATATCAAGGGAGACAATATGAACAATATGTATGTTACACCGTATTTTCTATAATATCACAAATGCCATTTGGTACACTACATACATGTATATATCAGATCGCTAAGTGTGTTTTAGTAAGCGTTAAACGCAATGTCGTAACTGTTAGGAGACCACAGTCGAATGACTTTACCATCTGGCAACGTTTGTACGTAAAATATCGGGTTGCAAAACCTGCCATTATGTGAAACCCGATCGTGGAACACGGCGAATTAATCTGAGTCAGTAACAAAAGACCTGGGTGGGATTTGATGACAAGCCTTTGTCAGTTGGCGTTGTTCGTTTGAAAAGTACGAGAGAATGACTCCACTGGAAGATGGATGGATTCTTTTCAAACGAATTTCATTGTTGTGACTACAAGTGCATGGTGCACGCATCGTTGGAGCCTAGCAATTGTCACTAATGCTTAGTTTATTGTTATGGAAGTTCATCTCTTACGATAGCACGAAGTGAAACTTTATTACAACATTAAAGGGAACACAAGGATCAAATTTTCAACGACTGCTATGGCCTTCATCAGGATAATGGCCAATAATCGTTGAAAATTTTACCCTTGTGTATCCTTGTGTTGGAATAAAGTTTAGCTAAGTACTATGATCTACTGTGTCATCATGAAGTTCCAATTCCTAAAAACTTCTATCATTCATACCTGCTTTCTTTTTGCACAACCAGTACATTTCCCCACCTGCTTGCGTTTTGAGGCCTATCAGACATCTTCCTCAGAGCTTCTGACTAGAGAACGAAGGAAGATGTCTGATAGGCATCGAAATAAACGTTAAGCAGGTAAGAGTCTTACTGGTTATGTTTACCGAAGGAAAACATATTGTTTTTACTCAGTTTCTTCCTCCTCCTCTTCTGTTCCAAACACTAACCTTTGACCTGGCCAATGACATGATTTGTTGACGTCTGTCACCATGGTGACTGGTGTTGGGTTGCAATGTTGCAACATAATGTTGCAATTTCATGGTCTGCTCTACTCCTGTCACCATATACTCGTAGTACATATATGTGAATGTGTTTGAGTAAAAATTAACAGGGCAGACCATGTCCGAAGGTAAACATTATGCATTTGCTTTGCAAATGTTACTTCTCTACTTACATTATGTAAAAAGAAAAAAAAACTGCAATCTACCAACTATTTTCGGTTGGATCTTTGTATACAATGGAGTCCTGTGCAGAATTATAAGCATCATCTCTAATCACATATACACAAATACATTATGCTACGAAATGAACCTGTGTCTATCAGCTTAATAAGAACATTTATGCATGAACGTGTACTTCATTAACGAAATATGACACTCTTATGCCTCACTCAAAGACATGGAATTATTATGTTTACCGAAGGAAAACATATTGTCTTTGCTCAGTTTCTTCTTCCTCTTCTTCTCCAAACAGTGACCTCTGACCTGAACCAATGTTGTGTCTGTTGCCATGGTAACTAGTGTTTGGTTACATCATGTTGCAATTTTATAGGAGGAGGGATTTAGACTCCTGTCTGACCATATATATGAATGCGTTTAAGTAAGAATTAACGGAGCAGACCATATGCGAAGGTAAACATTATGAATTTACCTTGCAAGTGTTACCTTTCTAGTTTCCTATCTAATTCCTTTCGCAATTTAAAACCATTCCGTATCGAGCACATATCAATAATTTACTGCTCATGCCAAAGTAGCTTATCATTATTCTATGCCACAGCGGTCGCCATTGTTGTGGTTTAATATTGAAGACCATGACGTCACTTCCGCCTGAGGGTACGTCACTTCCGTTCAATCTGCATTCATAAGATATTTATAGGGTTTTGTATATAGTGTTAGCATGTTGTTTGGGGTCGCTAATCCATACAGTGATATTGCGTAATGTTTCTATAACTATTCCGTTGCTATGGAAACGTGAACGTCATTTGGGGGCGGGGTCAAGAGACCCACAGCTGACTGTGATTGACAGCTCATGTGTAGCCTCCTGCGCAGGCCTCCGGGCGGGTGGGAGTTTTGATACTACGTTTTGTAGAATTTTTAACGCGTTCTTTTGCAGGCTATCCTACAACCAGCCGCCCATAGAAAGTAGCCTGGTATCCAGTCTGATTCGTGGTCAGGGCCGTAAGAGCTCTGTCCCGCCCGCCTCACATAGGTTTCCCGGTGTGTATTTCACGAGAGATTGATTAGCCCTCCTATCGTGTTGGGGGAAACCAAATCCCCAAGCATACTGTCTCTTATTAGCGTAACTCTCCTACCGGGACGGTCTGTTGCACTGGGCGGGGGAAGCTATTAGAGCCCCCGAAGGCACAACCTGCCCGAACACCCCAATACCCCCAATCACGTAAGACTGGATACCAGGCTAATAGAAAGTGAAGGGTACAAACCTTCTCTTGGCTGCTGGTTGTAGAATGGCCGGCAAAGGAATGCATGCGTCAAAAATTGTACAAAACGCAGCTAAACTGTCACCCACCGGGAGGCCTGCACAGGAGGCTAGCTCATATGCACGACAGGTCTTGTTACCGTAACAGTTTATAAGAATGACTGATTGCATACTGAGTGGGATTAATAACAAAGTATTAACGAAAGGGCATGACCTCGCGATAGTTTGTTAAAGCATATCGTGTGTGTTTATGAAATACTATTCTTCTAACAATATTCATAAATGTATATAAAGGACGTCGGATGGGTGCTTTGATCAAACAGATCGATATTTACATACACATTTTTTATTATGTTTCAAACTTAACTGACGCAAAGAAGATATGTGTCACAATGTGACCTCGCAACTACTTCAAGACGATCTTTATGAAGCTTCCTTTTTTTCTTTTATAGATTGTTTACCAATATCTCTAAAGACTAAAGTATGTCAACATCCAATTAGTATACTGGCCACAAAATTCCGCATTAGACGGGTGTAACCTAACCTCAACCTCTTTGCTACAACATGCTTTGTTTTTATGGGGCAAGGCAGCGTCAGTAAAGGACTAGCCTGGTATCCAGTCTTACGTGGTAGAGGCGGGTTTTCCCCGTGGCTGCAGGAGCTCTTCCCCGCCCGTCTGAGCTAGGTTTTCCGGTGGGTATTTCACGAGAGATTGATTAGCCCTACAAGTCCCCAAGCATGCTATCTCTATTAGCGTAACGGGTCGGCCTGTTGTAGCTAGCTTTAGGCGGGGGAAGCTATTAGGGTCCCCGAAGACACAGCCTGCCTGAACACCCCAACAGTCCCAATTACGTAAGACTGGATACCAGGCTAGTAAAAGACGTCAGTCATAACACCAACTGTACCCTTCCCGAATGTACCTAGATACGACCGAGCACTCCGGTATCTTAATTGTGTTGACCGGCCTTTGTACTCAAATTGACTCTGCCGGTACTGTTTGGGGATAATAACGCTAATTTATTTACCCAGGGTGGAAGGGTATCGTATAAGTGTCGCCCAGAAAACCTTGCTAAATGTCAGACGGGCAGGGGGGTATCTTCTGATGATGTAAATCAAACGCGGTTCTAAATGTAGGTTAACTTTGCGATAAACTCGTTTGCTAAACAAGGGACAGGGTATGACAATTTGTCTTAAAGTAGGTCTAAATGACAAACGTGACGGATTCAAAAATTCTGTTAAAATGAACCGTGTTTTGTGGCTAAACCTTCCATAATTTGCTGCACAACACAACAAATTAACAGATGACACAAGTATCTAATATTTGCCCTCCAATATAAAGGTTGCATGCGCCTGAGTGTTTTAATGATAGATTCCAAAGCTCCATAACTGTCCCTGGCTAAAACGGACCATGTTTGTGGCTAAACGGCCCATAATTTGCTGTACAAGACGTCTAGTTAACAAGTGGCACAGTTATCTGGACCCCTTTCCCACTAGGATAAAATTATCCGGATCGGTCGATTCGCTTTGATCCGGCTTCGAGCCGGCTTTGATCCAGATCGATCTGGCTCCGATTCAGCTCGAAACCGGATCAAAGCTATTCAATTCGGCTTGATCCGGGCAGTTTTACACTAGTGGGAATTGGGCCTAGAATGGACCTAGAGTGTTTGTGGCTAAACGGCCCATAATGCCCATAATTTTCTGCACAAGACGTCTAGTTGCCAGGTGACACAGTTATCTGGTTCCCTTTCCCACTAGGATAAAATTGTCCGGATCGGTCGATTCACTTTGATCCGGCGTTGATCCGGCTTCGAGTCGCATCGAAGCCGGATCAAGTCAGATCGAAGCCGGATCAAAGCGAATCAATTCAATTCGATCCGGACAATTTTATCCTAGTGGGAAAAGGTCCTAAAACGGACCGTGTTTGTGGCTAAACGGCCCATAATGCCTATAATTTGCTGCACAAGACGTCTAGTTGACAGGTGACACAGTTTTCTGGTCTACCTGTCTCCAGACTGTGTTCCACCTGTTCTACCGGTACACCTGCCGGGCGTGTGCGACAACCAATCAGCGCCCATTGTGTGGGCTCCATTCTCTGGCCACAGAAAATTGGCCGTGAAAACGCCTGGAGCGAACAATGGCGGATAAGGGACGGTACATTTGTTCTCTCAACTGGTGAATACGGCAGCTTTATAAAACATTGACATGACAAGCTTTGAAACGTGAATGCTGCGTTTCTTTTTGTACATCTATGCTGAAATTGTCTATCCGCCTTTGCTATTGACAGGAGAAAAAGGACAACTATAACTGGCGAACGACATTACTGTGTTATTTTCTTATTTTGTAGCTTGGACAATCTTGAGCTCAGAAATAGGAAACTTCAAAGACTCATCTCGAACTCAATTTGCGAAATTTAGCCCACATAAAATCGACACGAGATGCACAACACTAATACGCCTTTCTATATATACAAAACTATTTCGTGCAACTTTGTTATATATTTTACAATCTAGGCTTCTCCATGTTTTATATCATAACTTCACTTCTTTAGCAGATTTACGATTCGTCTAAATGCTAGAGTTGAAGTGTTTTGTTATACTCATGAGAGTTACTATTGGCTTTTCAATACCAACACCCAACAATATCAATAAATGACCTTTCCAAAATGTCGTATGCTATCTCATTAAAACGTTGTCAGAAGGATATACAATTTCCCCAAAGACGTAACCGTAACTTTGGCCTTTCTTACACAAACACGCGATATTAAAAATGTATAACATTACATAAATGGGGTTACAAATAACGTGTTACGATTGGTCATCGGCGTGATTGAATTAGCGATTGTACATAACGTACCGTCCCTTGGTCGCGGACCCGTCGACATAGTTACGGTATGTAAACGACCGTCGATGCTTGGTGGGTATAGATTATGGTCTCTCCATTCAAAATGGAGGCAGGATTTACTCACAGAAAACGTGGATCTGCGCTCGAGGTCTTCAAACAAGCGTGACTTTGCCGTCGACTCGAAGGCGTCGTGCCGAGCGTTTGTTGCCATAGTGACGCAAGCTGAGTGAGTGGAAGACAGACGATTTTTTTTGCGACCGACGTAAACACTGCATGTCTGTATGTATCGTGTTATGCATGTAGTATATTTTGCCGGCACAAGCGTATTTTCAGACGCAGGGGATTTGTGTTATCTTGGTGACAGGCTCAGTATCCAAGGAAACAGAAAGACGTCGTCTGCGCTAATGCAGCCAAGGCTTTAGCGACATCTGGGGCTAGAAGACTACAGCATCGGTGTACCGACTACAGTGTTATTGAATGGTTATCCGCAAGGCGCCCAGTGTCTACTATAAACCCAGCGACCGGTGACCACTCCAGCTTTCAGTGTGCATGTAAAACATGTACACAGCGACATGACAGCAGTATACAGGACACACCAGACAACTACAACGTACAATATACTGCAGACAAACACGGGTATACACACGTGTGTGTGGACGTTTTAGTACAACACAGCAGTCTACTTGGTTATACTTCTGAAATGTGGAACTCGCTGTTGAGCCCTCTATCACGAGGACAAGGGAAGCAAAACGGAGCTCTGAAGGTTGTGGACAAATCTGAGGTAAGTAACTTTGAAGTTATTTTCTTACTACATTTGTAAAACAAATATCTTGCCTTCCGGGTGTCCTTCGCTATTTAATTACAGATCATTTTCCACTTGTTGGCTAGACACTGAATGGCTACAGGCGCCTGTTGGGTATTCTAAAGTCTACAGTAGACAATATAAAGCATAGGAAAAATTAATTTTTTATGAACGATTTAAAAAGAAATCTGGTGAATTTTTTTTCATTTAGTATGTTGGTAGTAACCAAACATTTAGAAATCATTTGTTGGACGCATTTTGTGTCAGAATTGGAGCGGATGCAGTTTTATTGAAAACGTCTGAAAGGTTGCTTACATGAGAACGAATGCCTTTTCTGTGATTCAAAACTGCAATTTTATTTCGAACTATGAATTGAATACATCTTAAGTTGACCGACTTTTTTCGAACATCGCGAAACATATAGCGACATCTCCAAATTATTTTTTTTTAATTCCAACATGTGATCACCAGACGTGGTGACGGCACACTCAAGTTTTTTCAACTTATATTAATGCCGCCACCAACACAGGGGACAAATAAATGACAGGACGATACTCATGTTCACCTGAGCGAAGTGAGGAAAGTCGTGTAAAGTGCCTTTCCCAAGGGCACAAGATCGGTGGCATGTCCGGACTCGAACCCGGGACCTCTAGGTTCCGAGTCGAGCACTCTGCCGCTACACCACACGACCCCACATAAAAATTACTTATAATTGACCCAAAGAAGAGAGGAGAACCAATTTCCGTTTTCTCAATGTTGTTCTTGTTCTTTCTCGTGACAGGACTTTTTGTCACAAAAGCCACGACTATCAGCTGTTTGGCTGTATCCCTTAGAAACTACAATTGAGTTATGGTTTGAGAAACGTCCCACAGATACACAAGTCCATTTTTCAATGTTTGGAACAATACAGCTATCCTGAGTGTGTGTGCCGTGTGCCCACATTGCGTTGTAAGGTGTGTAGTTGCCGGGGTTACACGAAACAACCGCGGGTTGAAAGGCGTCCAAACGCGCGTTAAACTACTTCAAACGTGTCGCCAAACAGCGTTAAAAGTTAAAACAATATTCCCGCTTTCATTAAGAAACCCTACACCCAATTTTATGATGTTCTGTTGTCCTCTGAATGTTGCGAATAACTCGGGGACAATGTAGGGACTACTTCTTTTGTGTCCGCTGTTGTGGGAAAATGTTTATCCGTGCGCTGAGTCTGACTACATAAACAAGGTATTTGAGGTATAAAAAAGACTCGCGATAAAGACGAAGCATGGTTACTGTGAGCTTCGTTTAAGCAAAACCATTTCTTTTTCAGATAGTGATTCAAAAAGAAAAATTTAAGGTCATTCTAAAGGTTTGAGTAATGTTTAGTCACGAACTCAAGAACATAATTTTACCCCCTCTCCATAAAAAAGAGCCTCAAAACAACTTGTTTCTAGAGGATAAATGTTTTGATAAGAACTCGTTCGCTGAGTGTCCGCCCTTCTATTTCTTTTCGCTGGTGCAAAAGAGCCTTTGTGTAAGTCTAGACTTCTATTCTTCCCGTATCTTTTAATAGACTCGGACTGCGTACCAAGGGGTTAATTATTGTGAGAAAATTAAACCATTGAAATGACAAGCTTTGTCACAAGAGATCCATAGATAAGATACAGTACTAGTGTTACAGCGATGTCTACTCGTCAAATGGTTGGTCTCGCCTCTGGATCATTCCCTACCAGATCTTACTCGACCAGAAAAAGTGTAAAAGTCGGCCACATTTAATTAGACTTACATGTATCTTGTTTTTCTAAGTCAGGCTCCTGAGACGAGCTAATTTGCCGTTACTAGTACTGTTTTTCAGTTTTCTGATGCCGACAAAATACTCCTTGATAGCTGGAGTTGTACCTATCTAAATTAACTGGCCCCACCCATCCTTTAACTACTACCTCATTAACGACAATCATTAGAGGAGGTGGGGCAGTTTTAGTCTTTACTATAAAAAAATTACAGTCTTCTTCGGCAAGGCTGTTAGCCACAATACTCGTTGCACGGGAACGAAGGGGAAGCCCTTCTAGAGCCTAAGTCTCTAGGCTAACTAGCTAGCACCTAATAGCTTTACGTTCATCAGATCTAGATTTGCGTGCCATTCTTTACATCTTTACATACCACGAAAGATGCCTGAAACTATCAGAGCATCACAGCATTCTTGACACTACAAATCGATGTTTTGCACGCTCGCTGTCCCTCTGTATTAGCTTGTTTAGCAAAATTTATTCATGGAGATAATAAGACATAAACCTACTGTAACATCACAGCGTTCTTGACATAAAAAGTGCCCAGTGTACTGTTTTAGATTTTTCAAAGTCAATACTATCTTCACTTATCTATATACCAGTAAGTTGAAACACTAGCTCAGTGCATATCGACAATAATGGAGCAAAAATACGATTTTGTTGATTGGTGATAACTTATTGGCTCCTGGGCTGATATATGGGGTACCATCCAGAAAATAAAAGATTCATCTAATTGGTCCGTGCTATGAAATACTGAAGCAAATGTGCCAATGTGGGACAGTATGTGTCAATATCATACAGATTGCCTTATTCGGAATACTTCCAGTTTTTCCGCCCTGAAATTGCATTGGATGCCTCTAAGATCGATATTTCATATGCTCGCTGCCAATTTGTATTAGCTTGTTTAAAGGCATCCAATGCGATTTCAGGGCATCAAAACTGGAAATATGCTGAATAAGGCAATCTTTGTGATATTGACACATACTGCTGTTTTACATTAGCACATTTGAGTCAGTATTTCATACTTTGGGTACTTAAGTACTTAAAACTGCAGAAACAACCCCCAGGATGAGTCCTTTATTTTCTGGGTGGTACCCTAAAAGTCAGCCAAGGGCCCTTCCGGTAACCATTTTCCGTCAGAATATTGGGCATTTTTGCTCCATGAGGGTCAATATGCATTGGGGTTGTGCGGTTTCAACTCAGTATGTAGATAAGTGACTAGAATATTGGCTTTTAAAAAATCAGGTTTCCAAGCTCGAAAAACTGCATTGGATGCCTAGACCTTTAATAACTGTGGAACTAGACCGTTACTAAAATGCTTATTCTCATTACTTGACGTGCCCTTATAATTGTTAGGGTCAGGGACACATCGGTCATGATATGAAGTCAAATTAGTGCTTATTTACTGTTCGTATATTGTGTTGTGTGACTTTTGACACGTTCATTACCTAATTTGGGTTGACCTGATTTTCTAGATTGAATTAAGAGAACTTGATTAATCATCCGGGTTACAATCGATCATTTTAGAGGAAGTTTTCTGGGAAATTTGCCCAAATTTTCTACCTAAATAAAAGACAAAACAATATATCAGAGCATTGTATTTTCTCCTCTCTTCATGTTTATCTGCCATCCACATTCCAGCATGGCAACAGACATCTTTGCACATTTTAGGCATGTTGACCACTGTCAGAGGGTAACAAAATTTCTTTTTTTCCCCCAAATCAGGCGAGAATTAATGCGCGCGTTGATGTCATCCATAGAAAGTACTTGCTGTGGCCCAATTCCAGAAACTTGTCATATGAAATGTTTACATTGAAGAAAGAAGTGCACATGAATGTTGTGTGATTTTGGAATAAAGATTGCAACGTAACCGTTGAGATCTATTCATATAACACAAGTAAGAGACCATCACTTAACTCCACGCAACGCCTATTGATAATAATATTTGTCTAAATATTATGATATCGAGTTGTACAAAGGATAAGGCTGACAAAGAAACAATTTTTGTTACATTTTCCACCCTAGTGCATCCATTGAACAAACACGTGAATATAAATAGTGAGTGGCAAATTGCTCATTCTCTACCATACGGCGTTTAAAAAAAGTCAGCGTGCTCATATATAATCTGTTTTCTCATCTGTAAGAAGACCTTTGAGGTTAACACGAAGGGACTTTGTGCCATAATCCGCCCTGAGTCGGTGACTTTTGTCCCGGTAGGTTTACTCAGTGGCAGGCTGTGTTTGCACGACAATTCTCCATGACGCAGCGGCGCGTGCCGACTTGTACCCTGGATGCCAAACTAGTATCGTGCCGTTAGCCGTTTTCCTTCGGCAGCCAAGAGTCCTTCGCCCGCATATCTAAATGACCGCTACGGGGAGCTGAGCCCGAGGGGAATTTAAGGGCCAGCCAAACTCCCCCCGGGCTAGTCTCCCCGTAGCGGTAAATTTAGACCGGCGGGCGAAGGGCTCTTGGCTGCCGAAGGGAACAGCTAGCGGCCCGAAATGAGTTTGGCATCCAGGCTAGGGTTCACACGACAACACTTAAACGTTCTTCAGCGTGACTAGACCGAATTACGGTGTTTTTTGTTCGGAGAAGCTTCAGTAAAGGCCTGAGGCTAGTGACAGGATCGTCCTGTCAATAGCAGAAAATATTGCACTGCTGACAGGACGATCCTGTCAATAGCAGAAAATACTGCACTGCTGACAGGACGATCCTGTCAATAGCAGAAAATACTGCACTGCTGACAGGACGATCCTGTCAATAGCAGAAAATACTGCACTGCTGACAGGACGATCCTGTCAATAACAGGAAATACTGCACTGCTGACAGGATCGTCCTGTCAGCAGTGCCATTTTTGACACTATTGACAGGATCGTCCTGTCAGCAGTGCCATTTTTGGCACTATTGACAGGATTTTTTAAAGCATCTTCCATTTTGGGCTGTATTGACATGATTTCTTCATGTTTTCATTTTTTTAAACCATGTTTTCATTTTTTTCAGTCAGAAGGCATATGCTACTGTACTGTAGATTAGGCGTTTCACGATGGCGGCTATCATCGCGTTAACAGCTAGTTATTATCATTACAGAGTACTCCAGCAGATACATGTCAAAACTAGACATGCTCAAAATATAAATACAGGCGAATTTCACGCATAAGCTGTCTGAAATACGAAGACAGTTGTGTTTACATAAGATGACAATAAAAAAGACAAAAAGAAGTTTGATCTCTTATTATCCTTTATTCTTTCAACCAAGGAGGTTAAAATCAGACCTCCTTGTTTCAACAACTTCAACAAATCAAATGGAGTAGACCTTGTCCGCCATCCTTTCACCCCGACGCGCTGTCTCGTACCCGCCGGTGGGCCGCTGTGTCATTCCCGCGGCGCCGGCCGTAATGGCTTACTGTCGCCCCGACTAGCCTCTACCAGGCACCGCGGATCGCTGGAAAAATAGTAGAAATTGGCCGAAATAAAGGGCGCTACCGAGCGGGGGGATCAATGTATGCACGACGATCTGCAGGGGCCGCAGCGCAGGATCGTAAAAAAATGGCCTAATAGCATACATACTAGTAATAACACCTACATAAGACCTACACGAACCAGCGCCCACCCCAAAATTTCCAGTATGAAATAAAAATACCAAAATTTTATCGATCCTGTCAATAGTAGAAAAATTTGCACTGCTGACAGGAAAAATCCTGTCAGCAGTGCAAATTATTCTACTATTGACAGGACGATCCTGTCAGCAGTGCAATATTTTCTACTATTGACAGGACGATCCTGTCAGCAGTGCAATATTTTCTGCTATTGACAGGACGATCCTGTCAGCAGTGCAATATTTTCTGCTATTGACAGGACGATCCTGTCAGCAGTGCAATATTTTCTGCTATTGACAGGACGATCCTGTCAATAGCCACAGGCTCAGGGCCATGTATGTTTGTGTAGGAGGCTGCGTTCAAAAGGGATTGTCTGTAAGTGTTATTGTAAGTCCCGTATGCCTTTGTATACACCATGCGTGGCTAGGAGGCGACAAAACGCGTACATAACAAAGATGTTCATAAAGACAACATCTGACGCAAAACAGTGTGCGTAATACTTTTCAGGTGTCTCTATAGCGACATCCAATTCATTGCCATTGCCAAACATCTAAATACCAGGTTGTCCATGTTACTAGTAGTTTCAAGAAACATAGTTTCTGTGTCGCAAATTTGACAAAATCCCCTTAAAAGATTGTTAATATTTCTGAAAAACCACATGAAATTGTTTTACAGCGCTTTGGCGAGTACCCTGTAAAAATCCGGAAAATTGTTTTCGTCAAGTTTATGTTCAATGACTCTCTAAGAGAACTTGAAGCATGCTTGAAAGTCGAGGGTACTACGGTGTCAGGAACTTAAATACCAGTCTCTAGTGCTGTGGGGTGGAAAAACTGCCAGGCTACGTTGACCCAGCCTCTACCAGGCTTGGGGAGGCGGCTGGAAACAGTAGAAATCGGCCAGATAGAGAGATAACATGCCAGGGGAGTTGGTCTGCTGGAGAGAACAGTTCGGGTGCGGCAAACTGTTCTCTCCAACAAACCAACTCCCCTGGCATGCTATCTCTCTATTTGGCCGATTTCTACTGTTTCCAGCCGTCTCCCGAAGCCTGGTAGAGGCTTACTTTGACTCTGCTTTCAAACCTCTTAACTACCATTTGAAACGCGTCCAAGTCGTGTGTTGTTCGAGCACGGTGTCACCTATCATTGAACCACCTGTTTCATGGGTGTTACACACAACTACGGGTGTTCAACACACTGGAACCTTCTGAGTGCAACAGTGCAACGGTTCAAATCGTTTTAAATCACATCATAGGGACTTTTTTGCCAATTGCCAGTAGAGTTGCCATGATAAATTGACATGTACTACTAGCTAGAAGATAACGAACTGATTCAATGATAGGTAGCAACTCTATTAAAGGAATGCCTCTTTAATATTTGGTATTTTCAATTTAAAACGTTATGTACATGTAGAAAGAATCACAAACTTCAGACGAAACCGTCATTGCCATGTTGCTTACCCTGTCTTCCTCTACGATCTGAGTTATAGTTCCTATCTCTGGAGCTCCTGTTTTGATATTTTGTTGTTGTTTTTGTTTATTCCCACCCTGACCCGCAGGAATACTCGGTCCCATCCTTCCTGCCCTCCCTGGTGCCCCCCGAGAAGACAGTATGGCATCTCCCATCCCGGTTGGCGCGGGACGATGGTGAGGTGGTCCTCCCCAGGACGTACCTCACCCGCCGGGGTCCCTTACTCCTCTTCACCACCCCGGACATGCTCATGGCCGAGCAGCAGGGCGAACAGCACCGCCCCAGGGCGTCCCGTCACCGCCTGAAGGGCACGGAGCCAGGCGTTACCCTGGGCACCGTGGACGGGCTGATCGAGTCGGTACTGCAGTTTGGACTTGAAGAGGTAGGTGGCGCTGCTGTATAGACCAGTCATCACCCATGTAGTATTATAGTCACATGAAGAAGAACTTAATTGCACAACAATTGCACATGGTACAATCTATGGCAACAACTATTGAAAGTACAAGAAAGTATAGAATAAGACCATTTTGAACCTCCTTTATAAGACCTAATATAGAATAAAACCTAATAAATCTTAAATACTCAAACAACAAGGGCTATGGCCTGGAAAGTCGATCAATATGAACAGAAATAGGTTACTGACCCTCTGAAACGTCAACAGTTGTTGCCATTTATTGATTTCTTATTTAACACAGGGCAGAATTAACAAATTACTTTCTTCCTTGTGTTCCTTCTAGGCGGCGGACGAACCGAAAGGCAAAACGTTCCTGCGTTTCCTGAAGGGTCTTGACGAGAGAAGTATCGACATGCGGGCCCAGCCTGGAGGAGACCTGGGGGTCTATCTCAGACATCTCAAGTCATCTGCAGGGTACGATATCTAATCAATCAATCAATCAATCAATCAATCAGTCAGTCAGTCAGTCAGTCAGTCAGTCAGTCAGTCAGTCAGTCAGTCAGTCAATCAATCAATCAATCAATCAATCTTTATCCAAACAACTAGCAGACGAGAGTCTGAATTTTATAGTTCATAAAATAATACGTTAAACAATACTAATGGTTTAAAAATTACATATCTTACACGATGATAACACAAATTTGGTAGAGAGCTATAATAATGCCTCTTTACACAACAAGTAGAGGTAAAGGTCAATGCTAGCCGAACTCAGTCACTCTATGCCCTTTTAAGTAAAAGCAGGGAGGATACTGCATTTAAACGGCGTTTAACAGATCAACAATGTAAGAAATGGGCGATTTTTTGTACCGTTCTGTGCGGCAATATGGTGTGTCAAACTTATATGCAGAACGTGTTCTTCTACCAGAGATATTCTGCCTTACTGGGGGAAGCCATTCACGAAAGCCATCCAATCAGTGTATAAGCTATACTCACGTTGTATTTAGAAATCTTGTCTTAGAAAATGTGCCTACGACAGCTGCCAAGAGGCTATTTTTGTCAGAATGTGTGTTTTGTAATTCCTCCATACGGTATGTATTACCGATGCATGCAGTATAACGTTAAATAAAAGTTTAACGTAACTATCATTGAACGAAAGTAACATGCATTTGTACATCACCAGATCCTAATGTTTGGGAACGCATCTACGAACTGTGCTATACAATGTGAACAGCACAGAAGAAGAAGTCAAACCCAATAAAACTACAGCTAGTACCATGTATGTTGAAGAATATAGTATAATGTTACGGACAAAGATATAGTCTCACATACTACTGTATTTTCTTTCTTATGTTGTTTGTAACTGCAATTAGCCCTCGGGCATGTATTTGCAATAAACTTTCTAAAATGTGAACCAGTCAGAATTGCCCTGAGGATGGTGACAGACGGTAACCGAAACGTTGGCTGAAAAAAAAAATTGGTTGTGTAAAAAAAGTCTCTGTATTCAGTACCGAGTACTACTGACATGCCTCTTTCTTACTTTCAGACGTCCCAAGTTTTCACGAGAGTCAGACTCCAGCCAGTACTACAGCGACAACAGCAGAACTCTGAGTGGGGACTTCGGGCCCAAAGGACACAGTCGGTCATACAGCTCTGGGTAAATATATGTGTAAAAAAGAAATTTCTCAATGTTTCAATGGAACGCATGTTAGCACAATCTTGTAAAAGTAATTGATATGGATGTTTTCCTTATTGCTATCAATTTTTCTAACCTTAACAACCCAACACATAAAGAATGATCTAAGACATTTTTTATCTATTCATCTATTTATTTATTCATCTTATGGTTAGTCCCTTCAGCCCATACCAGGCTGATTTCCAAATGAAACAAGAAATAGTAAATATAGAAAAATAATAACAAAATAGTAAATAAACATATAAATGCTAAATCATACATAAACAATAGAAACTCACAATAATAATCGTCATAAAATAACAATTAGTCGTAAGTCAGAGGTACTTGGGGCGTCACAGGTCAAGTTCCAAATAACTAGTAAGTAACAACATAGAGTAGCAGTAATTAAACATAATTAAACGTAATTATGTTGATTATATGTAATAAATGAAAAAAAATGTAAAAATTGTAATAATTGAACATGTTTTATTTCCATTTTCTTGCAGAGTTGGAATGAACAACAAACTTTCCTCCGGGCAGCTGTTAGCCTCGCTCCAGTCGGCTGGGTCCTACCTCGGCCGTCCGTTCAGCACTGCGCAGGCGCAAGACTTCGCCTCTCGAACCTCCAACTACGCAGACGACGAGTCGGACTCGGAGGGATATCTACTCACCAAAGGTCACAGGTCACATCATCATGACCACGGGTTTAAGGTCGGAGGTGAAGGTTCAAAGGTTAAAGGGATGGTGAGGAAGAAAACGCATCGGTTACCTGACTCCCAATCGTTTTCCCGCCAAATTTCAGGCCAGTTTTACGAACATGATGACGCAATCCAATCAGACGACAGTTCCAGTAGCTCAGGCCTGACGTCTAGTAAGTCGACGTTCCGAAATAAGAAGTCAACAAAGAAGAGCAGGGCTAGTCCATCGTCTGCGAAGTCAAGGTCTTTTCCTGGTCACCTTGAAAGACTTGATTCAGGTGAGCTCAATCTTTTTTTAGGATTTACTTCTTTAACTATAATGAATAAAAGACCTTTATTGTACATTTGTGCTCTAACAAGCTAAGTACTGGTCATTAATAGACAAGGAAAAGGTTACAGCAATGACACTGAAACTATACATACTAATGTGATCTGCTATTTACATGTTCAACTTCTTCTCGCTTCTTGACGCAGTTATAGATGTACGAGCATATAGAACTAATGATACATGATTTGTCAAGTTTCATAAGAAATCTGAATTTTTCTACTTTATTTAAATGTCCAAAACTGGGGAACTTATCTAGTATATAAGAATATAGGGAATCTCTCTCATTACTACTAGTATATAATGTACAGTTGACTACAGAATGATACTCATCCTCAATACCTTATTCCTGATTTGATTGGTTCAATGTCATCAATTCAATTTCATGCTATACTAAATGGGATTGTGTATTCCTCTAAATCACTATTTTGATATTTTGATTTTTTTTTTTCAACTGTCATCCCACAGATGTTCGAGATAATACCGAGAGTCCCCAGTCCCCGACGATAGCCCCTCCACCCCCCTCGGTCATGGAATCTTCCGGACAGGAGGATCCTGGGAACGAGCTCGAGCATCATGGGATTGGGACGAAAATACACGCGGAAATGTCGCAAGAAAGTGAGCAAGATGATATCAGTCGTCTTAAAGACACTCAGTCAAGGTCAACGTCAACGACGTCATCTCGTCGTCAGAGACGATCACGGGGACTTGCCAGCGGAAACGGAAGTGACGTAGGCAATAAAAGCCCGCGTAAAGAGCGCATTGACACCGGTTATGAGACAGCGGAGCAACCAGATACAACCGGGAGGCTTTTACGTCAACAAGAACAAAATGAAGATGATCAAATAGATGGTCCTACTAGGAGGATTCTAGATAACAGACAATCGTCGTTCCATTCGTCGGACGTAGATTCGATATTTCAAGTCGCTTCCCGTCCGGAGTCAAGAAATAATGTTCAGCAAAATGACGTAGCAGACACCGAAGAGGAGTCAGAAGAGAGATTCCGTCAAAACGTCGAATCACTGAGACCACTGCTGCCACAATACACAGGTAGGACTTAAATTATACTTACGTTCATTGTGTTCTTAATATATCCGTTGCATTGCACATCAATTTTTTCCCTGTCAACGCTCGGAATAACCCTTTACATGCTAATAATAGAATAAAAAATATGTCCGGGTTGTCAATACATCGCATTTAGTACCTTTGTATTGTCATTTCCGCTTTTAAAGCTTGTAAAATAGGACGTACGTCTTTTCTTTTCCTTTTAACTGCTATACCTTGTTTCACTGAGGAATAAACCTCCCATAAGAGATGTATATAGAACACCGGAAGGCAATTTCAAAAGCTGAATATATCTGAACTGCCCACTTTTGTCGCAAATGAGCATGTTCCGTGCAATCATAGATCGCCTCTTCAGGGAATGAATTGTTGATCTGATAAAGAAAAGATAAATGCGTTGTTCAACTATTGGTGGAAAAAAAGATATCAGGTTGCAGGATCTTCCGTGCCCTTGTATTGTTGTATTGTATGAAGGACTAGTAGCTTTAGCGAGCTTATGTTGTCAAGGAAGGATAACACACGCATCTAAGCAGTGCTGATTGAAACGGTTTGTCACTATGTACACCATACTTGCAGTACAACACGTACGCATGATCTTCACGTGACAGACGCATGATGTACACTTGACAGACGCATGGTCTTCACGTGACAGACGGATGTATAGACGAAGCAAATTCACTACATAGGGCCTGCGCTTGTGAAAGAATTCTACAATTCTGCACCATATGCATGTTTGAAAATGTCTTCTACCATGCCCTTTCAGTCGACAGCCTGGCGAGAAAAACTTCCTTCACGTTGCAGTCTTCCCTGCCCGATGAAAACACGGAGGTCGTCCTGGAGCCCGTCGAGGTTGCCATGTTACCCCACGCCCCGCGAGAAGTCGCGAGATCTCGCAGTGTCAGCCAGAGCACCATTCGTACTATTCGCTCGTTCCTCTCCGGAGAGGCGGACGACGACGATAGCACGGGTGAGTCTACATTCAAACACATATATAGCACTGCAATGTTTGAAAGTTCATTTGTGTTGGTAGAAGTCATTATGCAACAAGTTTAAACTGTAATTTCCAACACAAAGAAATTGGACTCACCCAAATTTTCGACTGTACAACTCAAGTACAGTCCTTGTCAAAGACTAGAGCTGTACAGTCGAAAATTTGGGTGAGTCCAGTTTCTTGTGTTGGAAATAACAGTTTAAACTTGCTGCACACTGCAATGTGTTTATTATTTATTGTCTTATACCACTAGCTGACATGTATTTTTTCTGTCCAAAAGTCTTTCGCGTATCCAGTGTTAATTGAGATGCTTGTCTTTCAAATTCGTTCCTACATTCACAAGGAAATTGTTACTCAAGCAACTGCGTGGATAGATTTTGAAAATCTAGTATCCAGTTGCTTGAATTAAGTGACAATTTTCTCGTGTATCTCATCACATGGATGTTTAACCTTCATCGACGTTCCTACATGTATTTAGAAGTGTTTGTATCTATATTTTTGTTGCTTATTTGCATGTTTCTTTGTTTCTTTATTTAGTTGTTTCTTTATTATTTGCACGTATAAAAAAGTTACATAATCAAACAATAACAATAAGAGAATATGCGGGGTAGGCCAGAAACCTAGGTGGTTTTTAAAGGGCCTACCCCAAACAAAGGTAACTATGATACATGACAAAACATATTTGAATTTAACATCAAAATTAAACAATGAAATAATTGATAAATTAAACAAAATCAAGACACAGAAATAATAACTGAAGTGTCTTTGTGTCTTTATTTCAAACATTACAGATGGTAACGATCTGGAGACTGGAGGTGGATTTACCGACAGAACAAATATTTTAGAGCGAAACACAGACGACCAAGTGGACGGTCCAGTTACGAACACCCCCGGACCTGAAGGTGTGCAGTACGCTACGCGGACGTTAGAGGTCGCTGCAGACCCTACCAAAGCGCCTGCTGTTTCGGGTACCCAACAGGTGCAAACCAGCAGTGTTTCCATAAAAGACATTGATCCGGACGAAAAGGCAGCTATTCTCGCCAAATTAGGCTACGGAACCCCAACTACTTCTAGCAAAGACAGCTTTGAAAAAGAAGAGGAATCAAAACAGTCGCCAGATCACAAGCCTTCAGTCACAGAACGCGAATCCCTTCCGCAAAACACAACGGAAGACTCCACCAACATGCAGCAGCAAGAGACAAAAGTGAAGAAAGGCCCCATTTCCATCCCGTCTGCTCCGTCGGGCGAAGATACAGCTTCAGCTGAAAAACCTGCCGCTGCCGCAAGGAGGCGCCTCAATTCCACCGAGCGGGCAGCGCTGATGGCCAAACTTGGCATGGCCGACGACGTGTCTGCGGAAAAGGACGCTGATGTTAAAGAGGGGGAGCCACAAAAGTCACCCGGCCGCAAGGCAACTCAGGTAAATTTGCCATGCATTTAAAAAATGATATACATCAAGAATCAGGAATGCACAGATTCAAAAGAAAGGGTTCTATTATGGGAATTTTAACTTGCCGAACTATTCTACTTTTTACTAGTACTACTGTTAATACGGCAAACTTTGTATAGATTGTTCCTATTCTAGTGTTTTACATGTGAATATATCTTTTAATGAATTTGTTGCCATGTCACAACACAATCCAGTCATCCTGACTGCTTTGGTTGCAACAGTGTTGAAATAAACCATTCATAAAATATATTACACATCTTCATATCTAGCTAGCTATTTTACATACTGTCCGATTGTCAATGTAAATGGGCTAGGCCTTCCTCTTCTTCAATGTTCAATATTCAATTTTTTCACTTGAATTGTCATACATTTTGTTTGTTTGTTTGTTTGATTGTTTCTTTGTTTGAACCGTTCGTTATTCATACATATTTTGCACATTCATCTACAATATACAAACTACAGGTGCCTAAACCAGGGTCGAAACCCGGTTCCCGAAAAGCAGCACGACAGAAACAACCGCCCAAGAAAAAGAACGGGAAGAAGAAAGACAGCGACGCCAAAACTCCCGAAAACGCCAAACCGGCGGTGGTGGGTAGTCTGGACATCGCCGGTGTGGAGGGAGAGAGAGGTGACCGGGAGGAGTGGCTAGCAGAGGATCCAGAGGATGTCCAGAATGACATGGCTGAAGAAAGGGTGGAAGGAGAAGAGAAGGGCGACAAGAAGGCAGAAAAGGAAAGTAAGAAAAAACGAGCGCAAGAGCTGAAGAAAGAACAAGAGGAGCTAAAACAGAAGATGCAGGAGGACAAAAAGGTATGGCTGTTAGTCCAGTCTTTTTCATCGAAGAAAAACAAGAATGGCAATGAAAACATACATGACCATGGCGACGGTGGTTGCTGTTAGGGTTATTGTTTGCATGGCACTGCCATCTTTTTATGATTTTGAGGAAGACTTGGTACCTGTTATGTCTAAACAGATACAGTGCACTCCTCCCCTGAGTGAGTGAACGAGCCCCGGGGTCACAGAAAGTAGGGCCATCTGGGGCAGAGAGGTCTTCACAGGGGTTTCCAGGAATGTGGGCATAGATGTGGGTCAGAGACATGCCTGTGGACATTCCATTCCTGTGGACAAAATACCTGTACCATTTCTAGAATTCTTGCAAACTGCACACAATACTGTACCATTAGGCTCCTCCCTGAGACGTCGCCTAAAACATATAACCAAATAAAGATGACTAGATACAATGTGTGGTTTTACATATAGATTGTTCTGTTTAATAGTGCCCATTTTTGCTTTGATATTTTATTCGGAGACTTTGCTATGATAAGATCAGTAAATTAATGTTTTCCATTGTTAAATTATTTTGTGCTTCGTTCTTGTTCTCTGTGTAGCGCCGTGAAGAGGAACAGCGCATGCTGAAGGAAAGGATTCGAGAAAGGGAGGAGGCAAAGAGACGCGAAGACGAGGAAAGAAGGCGACAAATAGAGGTACAAAACAATGCTATTTTCATAATGTTTGGCAAAATGGAAAACAGCCAACTTTATGGCGACCTGCCACGGATAACAGTCAGTCGCCACCGTAGGATGTCACTGGCGGGACATGTTATTATGCGTACGCGTCATGAAATGGCTGACATGATTCTTCTTTAGAAACTGGGAAAGAATCGTAGGCATGGTCTCTATTCTTTTTTTTATTCGGAAGCACACTGATGAATACAAATAAAAGGGCATGGACTAAGTGACTGCGAACTCAACTTAGGTGCAACTTATACTCTCGCAGCCACTTACAATGAAAAAAAAGGCGTTTACAAGACATTTGAAAAACTATGGATAGCATGAGTCAAACCTCTCATCCCAGAAGAGAAGGAAAGCATAGCAGAACACATACAACTAGAAGCGTTTTGTTTCTGTGATGTAGTTTTGCGCGGCTAACATAATTTCACAGTTAATGTCATTCGAACAAACCAAACTGCCGCGAAGAACTAAAAGTTGTTTAGCATTGTTAGAAAGTGTGTTTAAATTAATGATGTCTCTATAGTCTATTCTATAACACTTAATAAAGAAGATACTCGAGGAGCACACGGGTTTTCAAGCTAAGATTTTTAACTGTGCTCTGTCATGCGAGAAACGAACTTGTGGAGGCAGTATATTAGTGTGGTGTCACCTCATAAGATGAGGAACAGAACTGTACTGAAATGGCAAAATGTGCTTTGGGAAATATCCATCAATTTCCCTGTTAGGAAATACGTCCATACAAATGCATTATTAAGGGAAATACAAACTGATTTTCTATCATGAAAGTTCATCTGTGTTGGTAGTTACATGTTTAAAGTTAAATCCTCGGTCCAACACAAAAAATTCTCTCACCTAGAGCTTTCGACCAGTCACTCTGGTCTTCCTCAGTAGACTGACCCAGTGAAGCTTGTCACGTGGCTTCTTTGAAGTGTGACGTCAACACTGGGTCAACGGTATCTGGTAGACGATGTCGGCCCCCGTCGCGGTTCAATGAAGGGTGATTGACTCAGTGTGACGTCACACTTCAAAGAAGCCACGTGACATGCTTCACTGAGAATTTTTTGTGCTGGACCGAGAGTTTTAACTTTAAACAAACTGATTTTCTATTCGCATCTGAAGGAACAACAGACGGCGGTTGAGATGGCGGAAATGGACGCGGAGGAAGCGGCACGTATGGAGGAGGAGAGCAAACGACTTCTCGCCGAGTCTCGGAAAAAAGCGCGAGAAGAGAGAGAAGCCCGGCGGAAGGCAGACCAGGAGAGGCGGCGGGAAGAGGCGCAGAGAAGGCGGGACGAACAGAAACAGATGGTACAGATGGTTTTATGTCATCAAATTTGTTTTACCCTTGCACTTATATATATATATATATATATATATATATATATATATATATG